GACCTACTTTAATTTTATTCATTATCTCTAAGTGTTATTAAAACCTGTATTTGACATATGTGAATATTATTTGATCTTTTCAAACATATTCATTCTCAGTAAGAAAGCCCCAAGACATTTTCTTCCAGAATATTTTTTAAATATTCTGAGATTTTACTAGTTATGTGAAATGTGACAGCACTTTCAAGTCCTTTATTATGGTTTTCTTTTACAGCAAGAATCAATTATTCCACACATATTAGTGCCTGGTTTTTAACTCAATATTTAAGTAATTAGTATCTGTATCTATAAATTAATGCATTTATATTCCTAATGTAGCTTTAATCATACAAAATGAGTAGAAACTGTCTTTGGGGTGCATCAATGTTAGAGGTAAAGACTGTTTATTTGATGTTAGAGCTCAATTGAACTTCAGTTTTGGAAAAGTGAAGGTAAATTTTTGACACTCTCCTAGCTGATTCTAATTTCTAGTTTTTCATAAAAGAGGGTAACTAAAGAAACATTCATATTACCTTTCAAAGGAAAAATGTCTATTTTAGACAAATTGTACTTGTTTTCATATTTTTATACCTCGTAATTGCTGACAAAGATGTTCACATAATGACACCTAATCCACTAAAATTATTTGAACTTTAGTATAAGCCCTTTAACTTTGAATTAAATAATGTATTTGGCTGTGAAAAATGTTTAAAGCACTGACAAATATTTTTATATCTCTCAGTATAGACAGATTCATACACTTCTGATTATGTTATGATTGATATAGAGGTTAACATTTTAAAAAGAGTTTGATCTCTTAGCAAGATGAGGAAAGCATTTTTGCTATGCCTTGAGCTATCTATAATAGTTGAAAATCAAATGCTTTCCAATTTCAGGTCTATGAAACAGCTTTAGTGGAAATTAAAACTAACTAATTGACATTGTGTTCTCTGTGATTGGCTTAATTGAGTAATATAACTGCGTTTCATAAGTTTAATTTATTTATTCCTACGTTTTATTTTGTACCAGTTTGATAGATTCTCCTACTAGTCTTATGTAAAAGAAAGTATATATACTGATAATAGAAATCTCTTGTCCAGACAAAATGAATGAGCATGGAAGAGAAGGATTATTATGGTTGATATGTTAGATGTTCCCCCAAAGTTCATGTGAGACGATGCAAGAAGTTTTAGAGGCTAAACAGTTGAATTACGAGAGTCTTAATCCAATGAGTATGCTAATCCCAGGACATTAAATGAGTGACTATAGGCAAGTAGGGTGTGGCTGGAGGAGGTAGGTAATTGGGGCGTGCCTTTGAGATATTTATTTTAACTCTGGTTCAAGGAGTCTGTTGCTTTTGCTTTCTCTCCCCCCAACTC